TGCCGGGCTACTTCATTCTGGAATATTTCTAAACTTTCTGTGTCCTCCTTCATGTGGAAGAGGATGAGAAAAGGCAGTCCTTCTTCTGTCAGCTCCTGTAGAGAGACGTGTTCAATGAGAATTATCAGGCCTTCCCACTTGCTTCTTAGCTAGCAACAATTCTGAACCAACACAGGACATGCGATAATTACAACCTGGGGGAGAAGGGCCAATGGTTTAAGCAAACACAAGCCTTCACGGAACAATGAACCTACGTCTCCCACCCAAACCAGGCTCTCAGGGACTCACATGTCCCGCTCTGCTGTAGAAACTGGTCTACCTTACAGTAAACATTAGTCCGCTCTGGTAGCTAGTACTGGCTAGAAGGCCCCAGGGACAGTCACAGAAAGCTGACAGCTGAAGCCATGAAATTTAAAGAGCTGACTAAAAAAGTACAATTAAAATGTTAGGTTTGGGAAAAGATGATTAATATTTTCAGTTTTTATAGATAACAATGAAAAACAGTGTTGTACCAATAAAACAAAATCACACGTGGATTCGCAAACGTACGTTTACCCTAAAGTTCCTTTCCACTTCCGTGAGACTGACCCAAAGGCAAACTCAGTAAACAGCAAAAAATCTACAACAAAGCTAGTTTCAACCAATAAACACTTTATCCCTGTCATTAACACACACCTGCTACTTGATGTGTATATAATGATACACTTCTGTATACATACACACACAAACTTAAAAATTATAAAGTTATAATTATAAAGTACTATTAAAATTTTTATTACTGTTACTGGAGCACATACAAGAGAAATGTGATGTGTAGACAGCAAATTTTAATCCTTTATTCGCCTTGACATATGAGTAAGTTTTGCCACATAAGAAAAAGTCCAGAAAGGATCTTGCAACAAAATTATTTCCATCAACTATGCTTTTGAAAGGCTCTTTATAACTAAGACACTGCTTGAGCAGAGGTGCAAATGTCCCTTATCATAAAAACAAAACAAAACAAGCAACAACAACAAGAAAACCCAACAACTGAACTGGGACCTGTTTTATTGGGTAAGAGTTTTGTTCTGGTTCCTTTCCTATGTTTAAGCTGGTTTCACTCATACACAGGATAAATTCAGGATAAATTATTAAGCTTCTTACCACGTGTGTCTTATTTTAAAAACAGAGATATAATTCACACACCATAAATTCA